TGGCATGGGCCCGCTCCACGCTTTAGGAGTATAGACTCTATAAATAGAGATAGTACTAAGTAGTAAATACTAAATATTCTAGGCTACCAGAGAGTGTAGTCGTAGCAATCCAAAGTGTCAAACAACTTATAGACGGAGGTTCAACAGAGCAATTGAAATAGAAGATTGGAAATCCTACTAAAGAGGTTCAACAGAGCAATTGAAATCGAAGATTGGAAATCCTACGAAATAGTAATACGAGTAGGAACGGCGTCCCCAGTGCCGCATTTCGACAGCTGCGTAAGCCGCCATCATCCGGGGGTTACCACCAAACATTCCCACACCAGCCAACACCACCGGCCCCACACCCACTTTCGTCCTTCGCCATAGCCCGTAACCAGCAACTAAGTCAAGTCTATGGTCCATCAGTCCTTAAGGGAGTTTCGAACTGCTACGTCAAGCGCTAAATACCAACTACATAAGAAAACAGTAGGCGTCAGTCCGGAAAAAGTTTGCGAGCGAGAAGTCAACTTCAAAAAGCAGGTACCAAATCGGCCTGGTACCAGGTACCAGGTACCAGGTACCAGGCACAGGCCGTGTGAAAACCTGCACTGAGGTAAACAAAAAATCTGCCGACCAAAGTTAGAGTCTGAAAGGGCATTACGGAATACGATAAGAGGACCGAAGTCCCTAGATCTAACAAGTGCGACACTTACAAGAGAAGAGTTCAAAGCCGAAAAACAGCAAGAAATAAAAAGTCCCAGACCAATACCATGGCTACAGGCATCAAGCAACCAATCCGGTGATCGAATGCTGAAGGTAACACTCCTGGAAAAAGGCCATGGTGGCGAAAGCGACTACAAACTAAACCACAAAAGTACCGGGAACAGAAAAACGAAGATCACGTCAGTCCGATGTGCCCTGTCCAAATATGCTTGCATCAATCAACAAAATCCTAATGAACACTCGAAAAACTTAAACACCAGTACTTCCTAAAGTCGCGCGATTTTCGGAAACGTACGGGCCACTACAGGAGCGCCCAAATTCATCCAACTAGAAATGTTTCTACTCTATTTTTTTCCGCGGCCCATAGCTGGGCCAAGTACTGGTGGTTTAACCGTGAACAGCCAAACGTCGCCGCGACCAAAGGCGAATGCATGAAGAATCAGTCAGGAAAGCCCTTCTTCATCAGTTCATATTGGAGGGTTAGGACCCTCCTCCGGGGAATCTCAGGCCGAACCGTTATGTATTGCGATTGATACGATGCAAGTAGCTTTGCTCATTAAAGCACTCTTCTGACGTTTGCAGCCCCATGAAACGAAGGCCTGTCCGTTATGTATACGCAGGCCGTCACGTGACCAGATACAGTCCTCGTTCTTGCATGTTTGAACACATCGCAAATGCGAAAAGCGTCGGACTGTACGGATCTGGCAGCCAAGAAAGTCGAAGGTCCCAGTTCCATCATCTGTGTTCGCTTCAAAGTTAGACCGCCCAGGTAACAGGATTCAAAACTCAGGAGCAGATGCTCTGTCAATTCTGGTCCTTCGGTGGCAATCACAACCATTACATCATCGATCAAGCAGAGATCAGATGTTAGACGGGGGTACCTCCCCACGGTGCTGCATAGGTGCACGGAATACATGCTAACGGAGGGCTATGATACATGCTCAATCGAGCGATGTATATGGAGCCAAGGATCCGCAAAGTGATGAAAAAGGACTCAAATGGACAATCCAGTGTCATCAAAGCATCAACAAGCAATGTACACCCAGATACATACGAAAATAGCACAATGTAGCGCAACGGAAGACTCTAAGATATGAGCTGACCTGTCGGATACAGACGTCGCGCCCCATCACACACCACCCATGTCGGAGAGAGGGGAGGGACCGCATACACAACCGAAAGGCCCCTCCGTGATCACGCACATGGGGAGATACCATGGATGAGGAGATGGGGGAGGAGGCAACACAAAGATGGAGATGAGGGAGAAGACCAAGATCGTGATAGCAAAGTCCAAAAATAGTCTCCCTGCCGAATGTCCAATCAATGTCTGCCACAAAACGTTGAATCAGATCCTGGACCTCACGGCCCGATGTAACCTCTCTCTTTCTCTCTGTGGAAGAAGAAGAACGAAGAAGAAGAAGAAGAAGAAGAAGAAGAAGAAGAAGAAGAAGGAACGAAAGACAAGAGATGGAGGGCGAGAGCAGCAAGAAGAAGAAGATGTCGCCCTCCTCGCTGTCTCACCTGCAGGCAACTGCCGCCATGTGCTAACTGCCGCTGGCGCGTCTGATGCAGGTCGCTGGCGTGAAGTCCTGCTACTGCGGCCAGGAAAGCACTTCGCGCTGCAGGTATGGCCACCGCCTCTCTCTTTCTCTCTCTCTACCTACTCCTCTACCTCTAGTGCAGCACTGTATCGTGCTGCTCTTGCAGCGTGTCGCCCAAAAAGTGAGCTACATGTAGCGCTGGGCCTCACTGGTGCGCCTCTGGTCCTGGCCCGAAACGGCCTGCCTGGGTCCCTACCGGACCTCCAGGCCCTCCCTGCTGATGCAGCAGGGAGTGTCCGCTACTGGACAAACACGAACCTGGCCCGAAAGTGCCTACCTGCGAACGAAAAAGGCCAAAAACGTGGCCTTTGTCTGAACAGACCGAAAGTCTGTTCCCTGAACAGAGAAAAATAGGACACCAGCTAAATAAATAAATAAATGAACGGTGCCTTAAATTGAATCCTGTGGCCCTAAGGCTGGCCGTGGGCCTCCAGGGCGCGCTCTTGAATGGTGTGCAGCCTGAGGCCCCCCAGCAACCTTCAGACCCCCGAAAAGGGGCGCGTGCGCAGGCTCATCATGTAACACCCCCCACCTCCTTATGGCCGAGGGCGAAGTTGACGATCCGAAGGTGGGACCTGGACGAGTGTACCGCGTGGAGTCGGAGGTGCCGGATTGCCTTGTTGCTTGTGTTCGTAATGTGCGAGGGCTTCAGGGGCTGTTGCCTGGAATGCGGCACGGGTCAACCAACACTCAGCCTTATGGCTACTATAGGAGAAATGTACTAATTCCTCGGTCGGCTTGTTGCCGAAGCACCGCGGCGAAATGATGTCGCCGGCCTCCGAAAAACCATCCATGGGGGGTGGTTTTTGCGATTGTCGCCCAGGAAAGTCGTAATGTTCCGTTGAAATGAACAAGGCAAGTGGGCGGGCACCTGAATTACAAATGAAGGTCCTTCTGGTGTGTCACCAGCGGTCGCTACAAGCGCTAAGGCGCCATCCATCTTGGGAGGAACTTACGAGAGATGTCTTGCTCTAGGCTGAACGGGCAGGGAAGAAGCTGACAATTGGCTTGACGGCTCATTCGCACTGAGTCGTCGATATCTGGTCTCGTGCCTTGAAAGGTGAGGTGTTCGTCATTTTCGGTCGTCCGTGGATGGAAAGTGTCCAACGACGATGTGACTGGCAAGCCATGGTCGAACTCGAAGGGCGAAATCCGGATAGCCAAATGAATGGACGAGTTGTAGGCCAACTCGACATCCGACAACCACTCAACCCAATCCCTTCGGTTAGGCGGATGAGAGTGCGAAGAAGAATCTGTGCGGTCTGATACGCCCTCTCCGCTTGGCCATCCGTTTGCGGGTGAAGAGTTGAACTCGGCTCGAGAGACGAGCCCCATTGTTTAAGGAGACAAACCCAAAAGTCGAACATAAATCGAGAGCCGCGGTCGCAAACGATCTCCTTCGGATAACGCTTGGCGTGAATCCAACTAACGTAAAGAACCTCGGCCAAATCCGATGCCTTGGCGTGATAGCGGCAAGACAAGAATATGGTGAACTTGGTGAGTCGATCGACCGCCATGAGAATCCCATCCACGCAGGTCTTGTGCTTGGGGAACGGCCCGGTAATGTCCATCGCAATCGATTCCCGTCGTCCTAAGGGGACCGGTAATGGTCGCAACTCACCGAACGGACTATGGTTGCGAGATTTGCAACACCGGAAAACCTCGCCTGACTCACAACAGCGTGTGACGTCGCCGAGAAGGTCAGGCCACCGAAAGCGCTCGCGAAGCCGATCAATCGTATGACTCCAGAGTATCTGGTGGCGGGAGCGTCATGGAACTCGCCAAGAAGCCGCATATGCAAGTGTGGATCACTTGGCAAGCAAAGAAGATCCTTCCCCCACGAGTGGACTAACAAATAGCCCTCTTGGATCCGATAATGCGATGGCGCCGGATTTGAAGAGGAGCAATTCGCGTATGTACAGAGAAACTTGGAGTCGACTTGATAGCCATGGATGAAGTTGTCCTGCAAGTCATCATCAACCTCAAACGTCGAGTAGACCGAGGTACAAAGGCCTGGACATGCGAAAGAGAGTCCGCTAAACGGTTTGACTTTCCCGGGATGTGATCGGGGAACTGGTTGATGAAAGCCATTCAACGGGTGATGTTCTTGGGTCTTGTAAAAGACCAATGGATTGTTATCTGTTACCCATCGGAATTGGCTTCTACCAAGAAACAAATGCCGCCATCGCTTAAGCACGTGAACGAAGGCCAATAATTCCTTCATATGTTCATTAGCAATCGAATGCACGGCAGGCACCTTCTTACTAAAGTACTCGACCAGATGCCAATCCACACCATCGTGTTGGTCGAGGATGGCACCAATGTCATAGCCGGACACATCGGTAGTGACGCATGCTGGCAAAAGCGGGTCATAGATGCGTAAAACCTTTGCGGATAGAAAGGCGGAATTGAGGGCCAAAAAGGAAGCCCGCGCATCGTCATCGAAGTCGAACGGTCGGTCCTCGCATTAAAGCTTGGTCAAGTTAGCCGCGATCTTCGAATATCCTTTGATAAAGTGCTGGTAGTAGCCAGCTAGCCAACGAACGAGCGGACATTCGTGACCTTCTTCGACTTCGGCCACTCTTAGACAACTTGAATCTTGTCCGATAACGGACTAAAGCCCTCCGCTGTGACGAAATGGCCAAAATACTCAGCTCTTGACGGACAAACTCGCACTTGTCGCGGTTGGCTTTGTACAGCGTCTCCAACACACGTTCAAGATGCTCGAGATGGCCCTCCAAGGTCCAACTAAAGACGAGAATGTTATCCACGATCCAGCGTCGCGCAGAACTCGTTGGTCGTCGCCACTTTTAAGTTCGTTGGGGCATTGGTGAGGCCAAAAGGCATGACGACACACTCACAATGCCTGTACCGCGTCATAAATGCGGATTTTTAGCGATCTTGTGGGGGTATCAAAATTTGATGATAGCTCGACTTTCAAGTCTAACTTGGAAAAATACTTTGTGGCGCTCAAACGCTCAAGAAGATCGTTGATACGAGCAAGAGGCCCCGCATTCTTGACGATTTGTTGAGCTTGAGGTAGTCAATGCTCAAGCGAAGGGCCTTGTTCTTCTTCCGTAGGAAGAGAACTCGCGCACCATATGGTGAGCTAGTAGGGCGGATCCAACCCCTGTCAAACAAGCATCGAGTTGCACGCGGAGAGCCGCGAGCTCTTCCTCACTCATGTGATACATGCAACCTATCAGCGGCACGACACCGGCGTCAAGAATGATCTTATGGGAGATTGGTCGGTAGGAGACTCGAAGATGTCGGCGAACTCGTCAAGCAACCGCACAACAGATTCGTGCAGCAGCCGCAAGCCCTGCCTCGTCACGAATCCAGCAAAGCACTGCAGGACGCTTGCCCAACTTGGATGCGGACATAAAGCAGCGGTGTGTTGTTATCATTGTACCACCGCGACTTCGTCATCCGACGACGAAGGTGTTCTGGTGGAACTTCTGCAACTTTTCCATTGCCTGAAGCTCAAGCAGTTCCATTTGGAAACACGTGCCATGATGCCATGAGATCAGCCCAAGTGATCTTCGTGTGGAGCTCAGAGAGGTCGACCTTGTGCGTAGACAACATGTTGTCAAGCCATGCTTGATCCGTGCCGCCCAACCAGTGGTAGAGACAGGCACATCGGCTGGTGTCACGCACGTTGTACATGTGCAACCGCAACTCAAATTGTCGCCACCATGGTGGCCCGCGAGTTTTGCAAGCAGCGATAGCGATATTCTTTATTATGGAGAAGTTGCAAAAGTTCCACCAGAAAAAAATGAAAAAAAATTGTGCTCGGCAAGGTGTTCTGGTGGAACTGCAACTTCTCCATTGCCTGAAGCTCGGGCGGTTCCACCTGGAACCGTGTGTGCCATGGTGTCTTGAGATCAGCCTAACTAATCTTCGTGTGCAGCTTGGAGATGTCGAGCACATGCGTAGACAACATGTTGTCGAGCAATGCTTGCCACGCGCCGCCCAACTGATGGTAGAGACAGGCATATTCGCTGGTGTCGCGCACGTTGTACATGTGTAACCACAACTTAAATTGTCGCCACCACGGTATTGGATCGGTTTCTAATGCGTTGCGGAAGACCGGGATGCCATCAAACTTGGGTACACATTCATGAGATGACGAGGCAGGGCTTGCGGCTGCTGCACGAATTTGTTGCTCCGAGTGCTGAGCGGTTGACTGAAGTTGCTGATTCGTTGGCTGCTGCTGCTTAGCATCGTCTTGGAGTCGGACCTGTAACTCCTTTCAGAACAAATACGTGAATTGCTCCTCTCCAAATCCGGCGCCATCGCATTATCGGATCCAAGAGGGCTATTTGCTAGTCTGCTCGCGGGGGAAGGATCTTCTTTGCGTACCAAGTGATTCACACTTGCGTATGCGGCCTCTTGGCAAGTTCCACGACGCTCCCGCCACCCGACACTTTGGAGTCGTTCGTACAATTGGCTGACTTCACGAGGGCCTTTGGTGGCCCAGCCTTCTCAGCGACGTCACACGGTATTGCGAGTCATGCGAGGTTTACAGGCATTCCAAATCACACAGTCATCGTCCGTTCGATAAGCTGCGATGACAGTAATCGATTGCCACGGACATCACCGAGCCGTTTCCCAAGCATAAGACGGGTGCGGATGGGATTCACGCAGTGGTCGATCGACCCACCAAGTCCGCCATGTTTTTGCCTTGTCGCTATCGCGCCAGGGCACCGGAGTTGGCCGAGGCTCTTTAGCCAGTTGGATTCGTACCACGGGTTACCCCAAGGAGATCTTTTGCGACCACAACACTAGGTTCATGTCCGACTTTGGTTGGCTCTCATCAGACAATGGGGCTCATCTCTCAAGCTGAGTTCGGCTCGACACCCATAAACCGATGGCTAGACGGAGAGGGCGCATCAAACCGCACAGGTTCTTCTTCGCACTCTAATTCGTCCCGACCAAAAGGATTGGGTTGAGTGGCTGCCAGAGTCGAATTGGCCCGTCCATTCAGCCGGCTATCGAGATGTCACCCTTCGAGCATGGCTCGCCGGTCACATCGCTGTTGGACACCATCATCCCACGGACGACCGAGAGCAACGACCACCTTGTCTTCATTCGACAAATGCAAGAGCTCCTTGTCAAGGCAGCCGACCAAATGTCAAAGACGCAGCAACGCATAAGCCGTCAGGCCAATCGCCAGCGTCTTCCTTGTTCATTCCGCGCAGGCGACCTTGTTTGGGTTTCCACTGCGGAATTCAGCCTCGCACAAGATCTCTCGCAAGCTTCTTCTGAAATGGATGGGGCCTTGGCGCATTGTAGCACCCGCTGGTGACTTCGAATTCAAAATCTCGGGACTTCGGCGCTGGCAATCAATGCAGATCAACGACCTAGGCAGAAAAAAAAACAAACAAAAAAAAAAAACATACCGGATCCTGAAAAATTCCGCGGCCACCGCCAAATTGTTTTTCCCCCTCTGGGACATAGGCCCGTGGCGCGAATTTCTTTTTTTCAGCGGTTTTTGGGGGCGGCGCTGAGGGGACCCGGGGGCCTGGCCAAAGGGGGCGCACGGCCGGGCACCCCAAGCGCTCTTCCGGGCAACCTGGGGTGGCCCGGACTCCAGGGCTAGAAGCTAGTTTGATGCCCTATTTTTGTCTGTTCAGGTATCGTTTTGGACTTGCAGTTCGTCCGAAAGGCCACGTTTTTGGCCTGGTACGGACGTAGGCAGGCCCTGTTGGGCCAGGTCCACTTTTGTCCGTTAGGTCCTGCTGCATCGTCAGGGAGGGGCCCGGTCATCCAGTAGGGACCCAGGCATGCCGTTTTAGGCTTAGGACCAGAGGTACACGGAGGCACAGCCGCAAGGCCCAGAGCAACTAATAGCTGGGGCAGACACACAGTTCGAGTAGCTCACTTCTTGGGCAGCACGCTGCTGGAGCAGCGCGACACAGCGCTGCGCTAGGTGTAAAAGCTCAGATAGGAGGTGAGGCGAAGGCCATACCTGCTTAGGCAGTACTTACCTGGGCACCATAGCTGGACTCCACGCCAGCGACCTGCACAGAGAGACACGCCGGCGGCAGTTAGCACATGGCGGCACTTACCTGCAGGTCAGACAGCGAGGACAACATCTTCTTCTTCTTCTTCTTCTTCTTCTTCTTCTTCTCGCCCTCCATCTCTTCTTCCTCCCTTCTCCCCCTCCTCCTCCTCCTCCTCCTCCTTCCAAAGAGAGAGAGAAAGAGGTTACAGGCGGGGGTTACAACGGGCCATGAGGCCCGGGCTCTGATTCAACATTTTGTGGCAGACATTGATTGGACATTCGGCCGGGAGACAATTTTCGGATTTTGCTATCGCGATCTTGGTCTTCTCGCTCACCTCCATCTTTGTCTCGCCTCTTCCCTATCTCCTCATCCGTGTTCTCTCCCCATGTGCATGCTCAAGGAGGGACCTTTCCCCATGTATGTGGTCCCTCCTCTCTCTCTCACGTGTGGGGTATATGATGGGGTGTCGCGTCAGTATCTGACAGGTCAGGTCATATCTTTGAGTCTTCCGTTGCGCTACATTATGCTATTTTCGTATGCATCTGGATGTGCATTGTTCGTTGATGCTTTGCTGACGCTGCATTGTCCAGTCGAGTCCTTTTCATCACTTTGCGGATCCTTGGCTTCATATACATCGCTCGACTGAGCATGTATCAAGGGCCCTATACCAATCAGGGCATACTCACACTGGGACTTTTTCGACTATCTTTGGATGCAATTGCGGTCAGATGCATCCGCATGTGGCCATCATTGCAGTCAGATGCATGTGTGTATGGCTGCAATCGCGGTCAGATGCACCCGCGTGTGGCCTTAATTGCACTCAGAGTATCCCCAGGTTTCACTGTGCAATTTCCAGAATTTGTGGAGAACATGAATACAAAAAGGGGGGAAGAACCAAAAAAAGAACATAAAACCCTGCAAAACCACCTACCCATAAAGAGTCATACAACATAACAATCTAGCCTGTGAGACATCTCTGAAGAGTCGTGAAGACTCTGTGAAGCAGCCCTGAAGAAACCATGAAGACTCTCTGAATAACAGTCTGGCCAACACACGGCAAACTCGCACTGGGATTTTTATTTTTTTATTTTTTTTCTTTGTACGGGCCTGACTGCAGCAGGTTTGATACGGTACTTGATGGGAACGTTTCTGGTCCAATATAATAATAGTCAGCAGCACAGGTGCTTTAAGGCACGCTCGCATGCAACTGGCTCGCACCACGGTCTAATATAATAGCCAGCGGCACTGGTGCTTTAAGCGCATATTTGCACGCAACTGGCTTCGCACCAGATCTTTTTTTTCCTGAATCTGGTAGCCCTTCCGATCAAAATCAGTCAAAAATGTCCCAGTGTGAGAAAGAGGGCCTCCTTGAAGGCTGGGCGGCTGCCCTGGTAGTTTAAGCACACCACTTCCACATCAAAGCACAGATCATGGTGTTTTTTGTTCCCGTGACATCCTTTTTTTTCCATGACATGATGACATCTGATTGAGAAAAGACGTTTTACCACCGCAACTTCCCACGAGCTGACTCAAAAAGTCTAATGCTCGGAACCGACCAAAGATCCAGCTAACGGCGCACTCACACAAAGACTTTTTTTGCATAATATGTGGATGCAATTGTGGTCGGATACATTCGAGATGTAACGTAATTGTGGTCAGATGCATCCCAAGAGGTCGCAGGGTGAGTATGCTCTGAGAGTAGTAGCACAATGAATGCCAAAGGCACAGAAGTCTACTTCCACAAAGCCGAAAAGAAGCAGCTTGTGAAAAGTGTGTCGGTCAATTGCGGTGCAAAAGATGATGACGTTCAAAAAGCTAAAAAATAAAGAGTCGGAGACACACAGAGTAAACAGCAAGAAACAACATACAGAAAATTGATGAACACTGGCAAAACGTGTTATGACAACCTCCTCACAGTCTAGCTGCTGACTTGACCCACAGAAAAGTGTGTCAGCTCTTCGCCAAACTCTGGGGGAAGCACTCTCTTTAGAATACTCCCTCTCCACCCCCCTGGAGGCCCCGAACCGCGAATGTTAATCCGCAAAACAATCAAACTCCTTCGAGGCCAACTACTGCTGCAGAGTTGGGAGAACAATACAGGAAATCAATGGCGGAAAAGGAGGAAATACTAAAATATTATATATAATATATAATATATATACTTATTTTATTGTTAATATCGATTTGTTAGATTAGCTATTATTTATTCTAATGATTTACTCTCGTATTAAAATGACAGATTGATAAGATTCAGATTTCACAAAGCAATTAATATTAATATAGTCAATGCATAATATATCACATCTTAATACGAGTATGACATCTTGTATATTGACTCTTGAACTATATTCTATGATGATTGATACTGTATTATGTGCCTTAGTCTTTTTATTATTTAGCTGTAGTCTATTTATGGTTTTATATTATACAGTTATATTGTTGAGATTCTTTGAGAAGGAAAAAAAAACAGCTATTCCACCCAGAGCACGCGCATTGGTGTTGCAGACACATTCAGACCTCTCCCTACCTAGTTGTTACCAAACCCCATTGACACCCGAGGAACTCGGCATGCTCCCTGTGCAACTCTGTCCCCGCCCGCTCGACTCTGGAACATGAACTCATCTTTGCCAGCGTCTGAGAGAGGAGATGAATCATCATCTTCAGACGGACGCCAGCTTTGCGCACGTTTGCTGATTGCAATAAACCTCACTTCTCGAAAACCAGGACGTACACAAACTCACTGCCTGACCCCGCCATTCTGAAATGCGGACCGCACTAGAACACGTTTTGGCAATGGTGACCGTAAAAGCTCGAGCCGGGATAAATCATGCGACTTCTGTGGGGGACTCGGTTGACCACCGCAGGCTGCAGCAAAGTGCTCATCGTCATCATCGTCGTCGTCTTCGATAATTACAGGCTTTGATGACAGACGATGATACACACGAGTAATCCTCTTGCTCTTGACGTCCCTGCTGCTTACAGCTTGAGCTGGAGACCCCCGCAGTTTGCAACCGCGGGCAGTGACGATGGTTTCTATATCCGCCCCGCTTTCGGCACCTCCGCCACCGACAGCAAGGGCACCAATCACTCTTCCTGAAGGAGATCCATCTACAGGGTTCTCATGTGCGGGACATTGGCATGCGTTGGCGTTGCCCCCGTCATGTTGCACATTCTCACCAGGCGGCGAACATTTGTCAGCTTGGCGAGTCTGTTCTCCTCGTCTTCTCGCTCTGACACCCTGGCTTGTCACCTCCTGCAACCTCGCACCAGAGACATCCTTCAACACCTCTCTCCTCCTCCAGTCTTCACCCCCTCCTCCAAGTCTTGCCTCCTTTCTATCCGCCAAAAGATTATCTATTTGTTCTCCTCCTTCTCCCCCTCCGAGTTCCTGGCTCATCCTCACCTGGAGTCTATTGCCAACCTCCTGACTCGCCGCTACCTGGTGTCTATAGCAAACCACCTGACTCATTGCCGGCTGGAGTCTATTGTCATCTACCCCTTCAACCAGCAGTCTCCTCCTGTGTCCGTTGTCCTTCCCTACTCTTTCTTCCTCCCCTCCACTTTGTCTTCCAGGCCCACCTCCTTCGCCGTCCCGCGTTTCCCAATTCGCATTCACTGTCCTGTGCCGACATCTCTGCCCACCTTCCACCCACAACGTCGCGTGCTTTTCATGACCGATTTCATGTTGGAATCCGTCATCCGTTGCGGTCATATAATCTGCGAAGTTCTCTCCTTCTGCACCCTCTGCTCCGCTTGACTTTATGCATTCAACCAAACAGGCGCCGCTGACATCAGGAGTCTTCGCAAATGCCAGTCTTGCTGGAAGACCAATGACCAGACCTTCCCGCTGAGCAGCAACACCGTTCCGTGCCTCCTCCCCTAGCCCCCGTCTCCACTTCTTCACCATCAACCATTGTCGGCTATCTATTTCCTGCCCTGTGTGGCAATCCACAGCAGCAAATTCATCAGCACCTATGGACAAATGCCCATGTCTTGCCTCAGAAGCACAATCGTACACACTATGCACACAATTCAATCCCCTTCTCCTTCTCCTTCCCCACCTATTTGCATGGGTGTGAATTTCCCTCTCATCCTGATAACCAAAACCCTTCATTCTCTCCCCCTTTTCCTCCTCCTCCATCTCCTCTGCGGCATCCTTGTCTTTGCACACATCGCTGCCATCAACCACAGGTACATCAACACCCCTATCATCACTATCACAATCCTCATGGCCATCACCGTCAACATCACCATCTCCACCATCTCCACCATCTCCACCAGCGCCATCTCCGCTATCCACGCCTTTGATGCCACTCTCCAATGCATCCCCAACAATTCCATGATGACCAGCTTTGTGATTGCTGTCACAATGTCTGTCCTTTCCATCCTCCAGTGCTTCATCTCCCATCTGTCCTGTGAGATTTCCATTGCTGCATTGAACGGCAATCAGGCCTTCATGCTGGTCAGATGACGGTTTCAACCACTTCTTACCCATCCCTTCATCCTGAGCATCGGACGATTTCACCCACTTTTCATACATCCCTGAATCCTGGCCAGATGACGGGTTCACCCGCTTCTCATCCATCCTTTCATTCTGGGCAGTTGACATTTGCTCCCACTTGTCACTCGTGTCTTCAACCTGGCCAGATGAAAGCTTCGCCCACTTCTCGCTCATTCCATCATCCTGGGTGGCTGGCGGTTTCAACAACTTCTCACCCATCCCTACATCCTGGCCAGACAACATTTTCACCCAATTCCCACCCATCTTCTGATCATGGACTAATGCTGTTTGGGGACCTGGGAGTGCGTCCTCGGCTTGGCATTCCAGCAAATAGCCATGCCGCACGCTACGATCCCTTTCGTAATGACAAGCATCATGCTCATTATCGAGGGTGTGCAAACCTTCCCCTTCTCTCAACATCCCATGCACTACAAGGTTTGCACTCTCCCCAACTCGTCCTCCATCCCCACCACCGCAGTTACCACTGCTTATAGTTTTCTGCGAAGAAGCTAATTCCCTCTTGGTCACAGTGATCAAGGATGTTGTCGGCAGAGCTATCACCAAACCTGCTAGTTGTGGTGAGCACGTCATATCACCACTACGAGCATGCCTTTCCCTCTCTCTCCTGCCTCCCTTCTTCGACTTGCTGCGGTCAGGCTTTCCAGGTTGATCAGCCACCTCCATACACTGCTTGTGCTGCAGCGCTCCAAATGCAGCAGACCCCTTGCCTAGGGCCCTTACAGCACAAATAGGGTTCCTATCCCCTCCACTGCGTCTGACTTTACTGTTCCTAACGCAATGCTTTTCATCCATATCATTGACCTTAGTTCTACTCGCACAATCTTTTTCATTGCAAGCCTCAGCTGCTTCCTTCTTCCTGATTCCTGCAGATGAAGAGTGATGATTGTTCTCGAGCACGACCTTCCCTCCTCGTCGACCCTTAACCCCATCGGGGCTGTCGTCAGGAGCTCTGTCACTACACCTCTTCCCGTTGCCGAACCGAGCCCTCACTCTGTCTGTGACATGTTCAGCTCTATTACTACTCCGCTCACCATCATCAACATCGCCATTGACGAGAAAGTTCACTTTCCGATACTTCCCTTTTCCTGTCCTGTCAACTTCCTTGCTGCCACGGCACATGGCCTGACATGCTCCTTGCTCACTAACGACCATACCACTTGCAGGAACCTCCACACGAGTGCAGGTGCCCTTACAATGCTCCTCATCCTCATTGTCATCATCAAGGATTTCAATCTTCCTATAACTAGACTTTAGTTTGTGCACCGTGTTCTGGTGTTCCTTTGCTTCTAGCTCTGCACAGATCGGAACAGAAATCTTGCCTGCACACTTGGACGTATGCTCTGCAGTGCGTTTTGGTACAGTGCAGGTCATCGACTTGCGCATCATCGAACTCTCGCTATTGCCTACCCTAGCTTTGTCAGCGAGGCACGGTCCTCTGTCATGGCACACCTGATTACCGACAGGGTCCCCTGACATCTCCTTACCGTCCGCTGCTTGCTTCCTGACACAACTTAAGTGAGCTGGCTCCTTGGGCTCCTGCCCGCTCCCTTGCACTAAACGACTAACTATCGGCTTCACCTGCCCAAGCCCCAACCCTCTTGGTTCAGATCCGTAATCTGCCCAGGGCACCCCCGACCCTTTTGGTTCAGATCCGTGATCTGCCCAGTGCACACCCAGTACCCTCTTATCCTCAGATATCCCCTGGCCTTCATCAAACTCCTGTCCTACCCGTGTCTTCGTGTTCAATCGAATCGCTTGCCCCTCCTCAGCTGTGGAGTCAGAGGTGCACCACAGCTTCCCAGTTTGAGCACGCTGGGATGTCCTTAACAAATCCTCACCCCTTAACTCCCCATCAACCTTTTGCAAGTGTGTCTCCCACATACCCTTCGAAGAGCATCCTCGCAATGAAGAGGTATGTCTGTCCCTACACTCTCCTAGATCACTTGCATCCGTAATGGGATCGCACTCCGGGCTCTGCGCAATTGCGTGCACTTGCCCCGCAGGTGTCAGAGGACCTGGCACCTGCAGTTGGTCTACCGATAACACCTGCGACAATACTGTGACAGGGTTAAGAAGTGTATCGAAGTGATAGTGGTTCTCTTGATCAGCACTGTGGTGGTCTTCGTGTGTGTCAGGGGCTGCATTTCTTCCTAAACATTTCTGGACTCGTGGCTGAAATGTCTGCATTTTTGGTCCTGGGACCCGAGCATCATCGACTACTGGACTTGCATAAACATAATCGTTTCGAGTTGTGTTTCTTCCAAAATCCTGACGACGGACTACCACAGTTTCGTCAACAACACTGTCATTCGCACTCCAATGAACCCCTCCCTTTTCTATCACAAATGCACAACCACTCACACTCTTACTGCTTGTCTGTGGTGGTGGAGACCCACCACACCTCCCCAGCCTAGTGGTGGTGAGAGGTGATTCTAAATTTAGACTACCGATGAAACGAGGAACAGGGATGATGGGCTTGGGGGGGAGGGAGGAGAGGAGCTGACCCGAGGAGGCACCCTTGTGAGGGAGGGAAGAGCCCACAGGCTCGCGGCTCAATGGTGGCGAGGTTGGCCGTCCCGGCGCTGCTGCGGGTTGTAACGAGTAGTGTGACCGGAATCCGTACTGACTTGAACCGTCGCACTGCCATCGACCAGTCGGCAACACTGCACCATGGTATCGACTACCCTTCTCTTCTTCGGCAACCAAATGATGGTTTGACGCGATGGACCCCGATCCGCTCTCCAAGTCCGTAGAATCGACCGCAGTGAGATGTCCTGCACCATCCCTCTCCCTCCCGTGCATGCCAGCCGTCCCACTCGAGGCAGCAATTGCCGATTGATCATCATCTCTATCTGAAACTCTGAGCTGCATTTGCCTGCTTTCCCTGTCACCTCCTTCTCCTCTTCCTCCTACTCCTTCTCCTCCTCCAGTACCACCGCATCCCTCCAACACTGTATCAAAAGTTAGCTGGTGGGAGATCCTCAAGCTTGAATCAAAAGTGTTATTCACCTCCGTCTGGTCGAAGCGGCGACGAACTTGCTTCATCGACCCAGGCTGCAAAAGAAATCCATGCCAACAAACAATTAGAATTTAAAAAAGACAAAAAAAAAAAGCACAGAGCATAACTTCTCAACATACATTGAATGTGCTCAAGCAATAATGACATGATTTCCAACTTTACCCGAAAATAACGCCCCGGCATTGTATTCAGTAAATTGGTAGCAACTTCGGTGAGGGCCCCCYCCCCCCTGCCCCCCCCCCCCAAAAAAAAAAAAAGAAAAGGAAATAAAAARMAWAWRCCAAAAARAATGTTAGGTAGATTTGCAATGCGAACAACTTTAGGCCAACGGTCACTTCAGGGCGTACTCACACTGGGACTTTCCAATGTATCTGACTGCAATTACACCCAGACCCGGATGAATCTGACTGCAATCACGTCCAGAGCTTAGTAGAAAAACTCCTAGTGTGAGTATGCCCTCAGAATTCTTTATTAACTATAATATACAACAACAAAAAAAAAGAGATGAATCAAACTGAAGCACGCCCCTTTGAAATTCCAACTCCCACCTCCTCTCCTTCCTCTCTTCCTCCTTGCCTTCCCCCTCCTCCTCTTCCTCCTCCCCCTCCTCCCCCCCCTTTTCATCCTCCCCTTCCTCCTCCCCTTCCTCCTCCCCTTCATTCTCTCTTCCTCCTTGCCCTCCTCCTCCTCCCATTCATCCTTTCTTCCTCCTCCTCTTTCTTCGTCTTTACTTCTCCTCCACTGTCTCGCTTCCTTTATGTCATCTACCTTCTCCACTGAAAATCCTGTTACTCCCATCGCGATTGGTTATAATTGAAGTTCCTTGCTTCCCTCACCCCCCCAACCAACCCCCCCAAAAAAAGACCATTTGCAAAATGGAATGCATGTTCAAGGGTATCATTCTGCTTGTTGACGTTTTTTTACCACACACATAAAACTGTTTTTTTATACAAACAGATCATGAGTTGGAATCCTCACCTTGCATGGCACCCACCACACACATAAAACTGTTTTTAGTACTTTATACAAACAGATCACCAGTTCAAATCCTCACCTGGCATGGTACCGACCATCCACATAAACCTGCTTATAAAAACAGATCACGAGTCTGAATCCTCATGAGCGGAAGTGACCATACAATGATGTTAGGGGCTCCTCTTGGTTGTATGTTCAACTGCCTTAGGCCACTCCCACCTAGCCTAAGGCTTTCAGGTTTATACGAGTTGTGTTGAATTGACTCCCAAGCTGTTCTTTGATCAAATCAGGCTACCGTCTCCACCCGGAAATAACACCCAGGCGACTTACACTGAAAGAGTGAACAAAATAAATCACTTGCCTTTTTTCTCAAATGTATTGCCCCTTCACATATACTGCCCGGACGCCTGGACACCATATTCGAACAGAGCACCTGGGCGTTATATTTGAGTCTGGCATGGATGAAATGCCCTGTGGGAAGGGGGAAGGGAGGTATACCCGAGGGTTAAAAAGCTTGGCGCACAGCGCCTCCAGGCCTGGTTACACTCGTGGTTTAAACCGCCAGTACGCGATCCCAGCCTTGTAGAAAATTGCAGGCGGCCAACTCCGGAATTTCGGTGGCTCGAGGCTACCGGACCATAATGGCTATGTGGGGCCAGCCAAAAAAGAAAAAGAAGTGCACCACTGGCGGTATGGAAAAGCTTTGGCTCGCAGTGCAGCGCCTCCAGGCCCACGTGTACCAGTAGTTTAAAGGGGTTGAAGCTCAAACCCTGCTTGGCAACCCATGCTAACTAAGCAAGTAGCCTTTCGACCACCTGTGGAGCTAGAAACAGGGCATAGAGTTCCTCCACATGGGTATGGGGTTCCTATGGGCACTATGGGCCCGATGAGACCGTGAATCCCATTCTCATAGGAAACAGCTGCAGTAGTTTTTATTCCTTGGTGTGAAGTTGCAAACTATATATACACTAGATCCAACCATTGGATGAAAGTGGTGCTGGGCATAGAAACGGCCAAAACACGGAAACAAGCACCTACACTGGTTCAAACAGGCAGTGATGGCTGTTCGGATGATGCCTGTTTGAACGAAACAAAGTCCAAAACGACCTATCGCAGAGCAGACAAATCCAGTAACAATAAAAAATACTCCGCAATGACACAGTCCTGACCCAGACAAAATCAGAACAGAATCTCAGAAAGCAAACTAAATGCCGCAGAACATGCACAAACAGACAAATTGACTCGATGCTGCTTGAGGGGATACTAAAAGGGCCTTTACCCGATATAGGCCTCAGGCCTTGTAAAAATAAAGCAGCACGGGCCTTGAAAAAGTAAAGCATTGTGAAAAGGTATTTCGCCAGGGCTCAGAAACGTGAAAGCAGGTCAAAGGTTAAGTTCTCTACCAACAGGCACATCTAAATCTAAGGCAAAGGGCATTGTCAAAGGACTTACCTGTTCACCAGGAGCTGTGTATGTCATGTCTGTTCGGATATGAGTGTGTCTGTACGTGCAGGCAGTGTACCTGTTCGTGCAAAGGAAAGTGTCTGTTCAAGCAGTAAATGTGTCTGTTCGTTGAGAGTTGTGCCTGTCCGAAAGTAAAGTCAATAGGCACAGTCCCAGTTTTGGTCTAAGTCAAGGGGTCAGTCCAGATCCAGACTTTCAAGTCCAAATACAGGCCGAGAGGCCTCCGCAGCAGTTGAACTTCATTGGGACTCTTCTGGGACACATGCAATGCAGGGTCTGGGACTAAGGGAAGGCCGAATTGAGCCAATGCAGACCCAGCGAGGAGTAGTCAGCACTATAAAGAAAGCTGCCTGCCTCATTCCTCGCCAGATCTCCACTGGCTATCATTGCGTGGAAGTGCTGGTGCACTTGTGCGTTGAGTCAGGAGGAGCAGCGCTGGAGGATGAAGATGCGCTGAATGGAGGAAGAAGACTGTACGCTGGACACGACGCAGCCATAGCTGCCCAGCGAGTTAGCATTATTAGTAGAGGGTTAGTGTGTAGCTATGAGTAGTATTCAGAGTAGATCCTCATGAGTAGAGAATGTGTATGCATCGTAAAAGGAAGGGACCAAGATATACAGTGTTCATTCAAGGTTTGGCTATGGGAGACACTTACCTGAGTTGGTTGTGAACTGCAGAGGTGGCGCCGATGAGTTGTGACCATATTGATGACTGGTAAACAATCTGCAGGGGCAGCGCTGATGCCTTGGAAGTCACATTGATGAGTTGAACAGAGATTTGTGTTGTGCTGATGAGTGCTGGACTCAGGGGAACTTTGAAACACTTTGTAATCCTATTTCTGATAATATAAGCTGTGAAACTCGGTCCTCTTCTTCTCTACCTTTGTCTATGGTTGAGACTATTGACACTGCGTGCGAAGATGATGCATGACATGTACACATCTGCGTGAGATGGTCCCCAGGACCCATGCAATACTCGCACTAAGACGTTTTTTTAACTTTTTTTATGGATATAATTGCGATCAGATTCATCCAGACCCGGACGTGAATGTGTTCAGTTACATTGAAGATTGAGCTAGTGTGCATACACCCAAAATGAAGCAGTTCAAGGCCCAAAGTCGTATCAGTGGCCCTAAGGCCGCCCAAAATGTGCAGCGTGCCACCTCAATGCCTCATGTCCAGAATCGTGAGGCCTCTGATTTCCACAGTCTGGGTCGGTGTAAACAAGAGGCTTAATAAAATGCAATCAGGAGTAGCAGTGCTTTAAATCAGTTCAACCCACTCCCAGGTCAGAACTCGTTTACTCGGGAGCTTTGTTGGTCGATCAATGAATCAGTCCATGTGTCAGATTGAAAGGCATTCCATGATGCAGACCCCAAATTCGAATTTCAGGGTCAAGGTCTCAAGCCAAGGGAGGCCAAGTCGGCCAGTTCAGAAAGGTCACGGTCGGGTACCTTTAGGAGTCGAGTCCAACAGGCACCCGGTAAACAGTCACATCCCAAAGGCAAAGGTTGCATTCTGTAAGCAAAAGTCACGTCCCACAGGCAAAGGACACTTCTCCAGGCAAAAGTTGTGTCCCAGAGGCAAGAGTCACAACCCACAGTCAAAAGTCATGTTCCACAGATAAAAAGTCGTGACTCACAGACTCAAGCAGCAGCACACCAATGAAGATTCAGGAAAACTACCAGGCCTTGACATTCTGAAACAAGCAGGCCGTGGGCATGCGGTACTGGATCCAAGTCAAGCCAAAGGAAGCATAGGC